TTATTGAAATTGAGCCAGCTCAGAGCTAATCTCTGAAGTTAGTCTGGCTGGGATGCCCTCTTCTCACCAGGGTTGCTTTGACCCCTCAGACTACCTAGACAAGAAATACTTCCCTCTATGGGCATGCACTTTAATCAAACTATATCTCCATCAAAGAGGACCGTATTTTCTTTATGAGTAGAACTGATATTTGGATGTAATTTTCTAATAAGGTCACAATACAGTGTCATGCAGATTTGTTTTATTTATGACCCTGAGAATGAACATCCTTATCGGAATTCATTGAAAAAATTGTAAAATAGTGTCTTTTCTTCATAAGTCAGGGTCTGGTTCTAATCAGACCCTGACTTATGAAGAAAAGACATTATTTTAGTGTTATTTCTGCCTCACCTTTCTCTTTTTGCCCCTTAACAATTTTGCTCTGCATTACTGCTGGATGGTAGACAAAGTTAGTGAAAGTAAAACCAATAATCTAGTTAGCTACTAGCCATTAAATTGCATTCTTGAAGAGGAAGTATTAATAGGTTAATCTTACATGAGCTTAAAATACTTTTATATCTTCTTTATGAAAAACGAAGAATTGGACATATTTTATTGATTCTAAAGCAAAAAATCTGAAAAGGATTGTGTGATGAAAAGTAAAATGAATATAGCATAACTGCCTTATGAAGTATGAAAATGCAATGCAAAAAGACAATATTTGGTTGGGTGCAGTGGCTCACACCTGTAATCCCAGCATTTAAGGAGACCAAGGAGGGCAGATCACTTGAGACCAGCCTGGTCAACATGTAGAAAGCTTGTCTCTAAAAAAAAAAAAAAAATTAGAAAGAAAGGAAAAAGGGCCGGGCACATTGGCTCACACCTGTAATCCCAGCACTTTGGGAAGCTGAGGCAGGTGGATCACATGGTCAGGAGTTTGAGACCAGTCTGGCCAATATGGTGAAACCCCATCTATACTAAAAATACAAAAATCAGCCAGGCATGGTAGTGCACACCTCTAGTCCCAGCTGCTTGGGAAGCTGAGGCAGAAGAATCTCTTGAACCTGGGAGGTGGAGGTTGCAGTGAGCCAAGATTGTGCCACAGCACTCCAGCCTGAGTGACAGAGTGAGACTCTGTCTCAAAATTAAATAAATAAATAAAAAGAAAGACAATGTCCAAGGCACTTTAATTCAACTAAAACCTTTCATCACCTGAATGAAAAATTGGAAACGTGCTTTTTGCCTTTAATTTTGAACTCATTTAGTAAAATGACAAAATGTCAATCACTTTGTTACGTATAGTAAAGCAGGATACTTTATATTGCTTCAGTGTGTCATGTTTGTTCATTTGAACAAGTTTAACTTGCAGGTGAAAATGCTCGTAGGGGCCTGGTAGAGTTATTTGAAAGAGAGACACAAGTACAGAGCAGTTGTATTAACAGTTTATATTAGTTTAAAATGTAGTTTATGTATAAATAGAAAAGAAATGAATACTTTGGTAATGAAACCATTAGATTTGTTTGAAAGCAATTAAAGACATAAAGATAATGAGAAAGATCGTGGGGATGAGGAAGAGGAGTAGATAACATTTTTATAATTTATGTATGTATTTCTGTATTTATTTTGTTAAAAGACAGGGCCTCACTATGTTGCCCAGGCTGGTCTCAAACTCCTGAGCGCAAGTGGATCTACCTGCCTTGGCTTCCCAAAGTGCTAAGATTACAGGCATGAGCCACCATACCCAGCCATGGAGATAGTATTTTTAAAATTAGACTGTAAAACAATACTTATTATTGTGTGGATAAGTTATCTTGGATGAATAGAGGATGTCCACCTTCTTTTCCTACTAAGAAATTAGATGAGGTAAGTAACTCCATTAAAAGAAATTAGAAATAACTAAAAGTTCTTCTTTTAGTTTCTTACAATGAAAATGTAATCATAGTATCCCCTGAGAGTGAAAAGTTGGGATTGGGGCTCTTTGGGGTACCGCTCCATACATTTCTTTGTTCCATTTTCTATAAGTAAGTGTTATATTTGTCGTTATGTTTAAGCACCAGGAAATCATTGTTTGTAGGTTAAGAGTCAAATAACTGATGCTTATCATGAATCATTATTGTTATTTTCAAATTTAAATGATAGTTTCTCTTTTAGTACAGTTTTTTTTTTTTTAATTACCTTCAAACTTTGTCATTATCTCTGAGTGTCAGACTTACCTATGATTTTGGTGTGTGTGTATGTGTATGTGTGTATTTAAATATATAACATATGACTTTCTATATTCTGTATATATTATATCAATTGAGAAATATATTTGAAGAATGAATAAATAAAACATTTCTGGAAATTATTTTAAAAGAAAATGTAATGATAAATGTTTTAGAGTAGTTTGCCCATTTCTTTTCTGTAATACTTTTTAGGTTAATGAGAAGTTGCTCAATTATTCTGTTTTTATACACTATACATTTTATTCCTCCGAAATGTTTGGCAGCTCCAACAAGAAGCAGCTGCTAGTTTTAAGCAGGAAATCTAAACAGCTAATTTTTGAAAAAATTTTTGTATAGTTATACTCTCCTTAAATAGGCATCCGGCACAATTTAAGGAGTGTATAGCAATTTCATAGAATAAGCAGGTTACCCTGTTTTATGGTCTGTTTAGAAAAATAGAGCCATCAGATCCCAAATGCCTAATCTCAAGGAGTACAGTGTTTATGCTGTGTTACTGTCATACCCAGATTTAAATCTTACCATCCTTACAACCAACGATAATTAATAATTTTTCTTTGTGCACAAGCTGAGTAGAGATTTTATTCTTTTTGAAGTACTCTGAAAAACTAAAGGATGTTTTTAAAAATTGTAATTTTAGGCCAGGCAAGTGGTTCATGCCTGTAATCCTAGCACTTTGGGAGACCAAAGTGAGAGGAATGTTTGAGCTCAGGAGTTCAAGACCAGCCTGGCAACTAAGCGAGACTCCATTTTGAAAACAAAACAAAAAAAAGATAAAAATTGTAATTTTATTTACATGGTTACACCATCCTTTTCTTTGATATAAAGAAAATAAAACAAAGCCATTTTTCTTTTTTCTTAAAATAGAGTAGAAATAGTGATAGCTTTAAACTGTTTATTATTTGGGGGAATGTATTAGGATTCTCCAGAGAAACAGAACCAACTGGATGTTCATATACAGAAAGAGATTTATTATAAGAAATTGGTTTACATGATTATAGAGGCTTGGCAAGTCCAAAATCTGCTGTTGGGCTGGCAGGCTGGAGACTCAGGAGAGCCAGTTGTGCAGATAAACTCTGATGGCTGTCTGCTGGAGCATTCCCTTTTGCTTGGGACAGTCTAGTCTTTGTTCTGTTAAAGCCTTCAACTAATCAGATGGGGCCTACCCACATTATGAAGGGCAATCTGCATTAATCAGAGTTCACTGATTTAAATATTAATCTCATCTAAAAACACCCTCCAAGTTGCCACATAAAATTAGCTATCATAGGGAATATTTTAATATTGCTGAAATGTAAATCTTTCTTCTTGTGGAGTGGTGGCTATTCAGTACTGCCTTTAGATTTAAGCATGGAGAGCCTTCCTCAGATGCTCCTTTTCAGAGGGTCCTGCTTTGTTCCATATTCAGTCACATACCTCACCATAGAGCAAGAAGACCAAGGGGCCAAAGTTACAGACTCACTAGGAGGTATGCCCCCATTCTAGACCACATCCTGGCTACCCAGGACCCTAGAATGCTCTGCCCAGACAGCTTCAAGCCTGTTTCTGGGGCCTGTGTAGAAACCAGGCCACATGTCTCCTCAGGTCCACGCTCCTGACTCTGTGGACTTTGTACCCACTGATACTTCTGCAGGGGCGAGTGGATGGCTGTTTGGAGGAAGGTGTCTAGATATGTGGGCTACTAAATTTCTCCCCATCTGCAGATGAGGCCCTCGCAATGCAAAAAGGAGCCTGGAATAGGGAGAGAAGTGGAGCGGGATGAGGGCCTCTTTTCCTTCCTCTTCCACATTCAGACACATGTCTTTCAGGTGTCTGGAATCCTAAATGAGAGCTTCTTGGTCATTACAAAGGTATTTCTATCAAGGTAGTAGGATGGAACACATTTAACATATATATTAATCACCCGTTAGCCTGAGTTATTGTAACTTTTAAATATTTAGATGTATATTTGTACCTCTGTCCCAGACTCACCAAACATTAGAGGCAGGTATTTCCTATGTATTGAAGGTCAGCAAATTCAGAGAATTAGAAGTTAATTACCAAATCTGAAATCTGAAAAGTATGTTATAAAATCAGGATAGAGTAGGGGAGGGTTATCACTATGAAGGAAGGAATCATAGTTGGGAAGGGACCTGGCAGGCTTCATTTCTCCACTTGGATGGTGGTTAAAATAGATGTAAATTCTAATGATTCTTTAAACTAAATAGTCTTTGTGGCTTATTCTGTATTGAAAAGGATCTTCCAATGAAATGTTAAAAAATATTGTTCTTAATTACGGGGGAAAAAAACTGTCTCAGAAAAATATTTCTCCCAACTTGTCTGTTCCAAGAACCTTGGCCCAGCGATCAGAATAAATAGAAACAATAATTTAAAGTTCTAGAAGCCACATAAATCTTATAGCATGTGTGTGTGCATGAACAAGCATATATATTTAAGAGTGTGTGTGTGTGTATGCGCGCGCGCGTGTGTGCGCGCACACTTAATTTTTACTTTCAAGACCAGCTGTGGAAGCAATTGAAAGAAAACCGGTCTTCTCATTCCTGACTGCAAGGCCTTCAGTGGATTCCATGGGTTAAGATAAAAAATATTTTCAAGTATTTTTATTTTACTCTCTGTGGTTTATCTGAAAGAATGAACAATGATAATAAAAAGCAAAGGGGAGTATTTACCTTTTTCAGGTTAGAGATCCATTGTGTGTAAACTTTGTTCTATAATTTTGTGAAAAAAACTTTTCTGGATGCGCTTTCCACATGTAAATATTTATTGTAATAGAGATTCTTTCCCTGTTTTTATTTTCAGGTATCATCTTCATTGAATAAAGAAAGTAATAATGAAGGTATAGTATATTTTGGTTTGGGAAGAGTGAGGTGTGTAAATATGTTTGTTTACAGTAGTGGAAGCCAAAAAAATAAAATAAAATAGATTAATTTAAAAGCTATATAAGCTAAGTGAAATATTTTTAAAATATTTAAAAATTTTAGGTGAAATTTTTCTCAGAAAATGAGGAGAAAGCATTTAACTACTTTTCTAGGCTAGAAAATAATTTGATTTTGCAGTGACTTTTTTTGATGAAGTACTGAGATATTCAGCCAGTTCTGATAAATTTAATTTTAAAAGACCTAATTTAACCAAAAAAAAAAAACCTCTTACATTCAGATATTTATCTTATCATTTTAATTAATTACTTTAGCTGAAGATCTTAAATCAAAACCTATACTGTTGTAGGATTAAAAATAAATACAGTATTTTTATTACCATTATTTGAACCCGTTTTAATAAACAAGTAGAGCTCTCTGTAGTGAAATTTTCAGAATTTAAGCATGTGCACCTATCATTTGTCTTTCAAAATATTGCAAGGTTTTTGGCTTTTTGTTTTAATATAAAATATCGAAAGAGTATTCAACTTGCAAATTTGGAAGAAATATGAGAACTTTTTACTGTGAGTCAAGTATGACATGTTTAGAAAGGAGTAAATCCATAGACATGATTTCATGGGAAAGCAAACTGTATTCCTTATATGGTAAGCTAACAAATTGTTTCTTTGCAATACAATCCCATTTGGGGTATTTTTGGGGTAGTCAAATTTTACAGTACAAGCTTTTTCTAAACCTTTCATGCTGTAGCACTTTTGTGTTGTCTGCTAGAGACAAAAATGACCCGGAAAGATCAAGAAATAAAGTAGGAAGGCTCTAGAATTTTTAATGTAGTTTTATGTAAGGCTTGGGCCTAATGAGAGAACTTGAGACAAAAGTTTAAAGGGGAATACCTTTAAATAGAGAAATGCAACTTTAAATGGAGAACTTATGACTGTTTATATCTGCCTAAATACTTCCTAAAAGCCTAAATTAAATTTATTTGATCCCTCCCTCCTCCCTCCTGCTTTCTTTTATCCCTTCCCTAATGCCCTCTTTCCCTATTTTAAATGTAGAGCAAGTGTGGCACTTCCTTGACAAGTGATTGGAACATTTGAAATTCTGCTGTCAAGATTCCAGTCTCTAAGGACTTCAAGACTCTTTTTTTTCCCCAAATGCCAGAGACAAGGAGGGTCTATGAGCATTTACTGACTTCCTGTCGAAACTTCATTTTTTTTCAAACTTTTTGAGATATGTAATATATAAATAAACAGTAAGATTTTTGAATTACTCTCCTTTGGACATTTATTGATATTTTGTTTAATTTCATAGCACAAATTTAGAGGCATTGAGTTGACCATTTCTAGTTTCTATACCTAAAGGAACCCAATGATTTTATTAGTTTTTATTTCTATAGGCTGGATGTAAAAATCACAAATTCAATAATTTAAAAAAATTTGCATAGATGACTGTTACTTTCCTTTTCATACTACATTATTCTTTTTCAAGTCCATTGCTGGTAGAGGCTTTAAATATTTAGCCAACCTCTATTTTCTTATTAGTGCCTGTGTAAATATGTTATGTTTATTAAGGGTCCTTCCTGTAATTTATTGTTTTGGAAGCCCTAATATATTTTTTATTCCAATTCATTCCCCTTATGGTGATGACTCTGAGGATGACTCTCATTGCCTCTGTGGGATGACCCACTCTGGTGATGACTCCTTCTATGGTGGTGACCTCTATAGCGATGACTCCCAAATCTCCATAAGAGGCCCAGGTCTGTTTCTGGGGTCTGCCTATTGGTCATCAGTTTAAATGCCTTTGACTTCTCTTTTCCAAACCTGAATTCATCTTCACTTGCACATATGCTCCTCTCTCCTTGTTCCTGAACAATGGAATAACTTTCTCTAGATCTTCCACTAGAAGCCTTGAAATCATATGGAGCCCCTCTTTACTCATGAAGATAATCTAAATGTTTATTTGTTGTCCTAATTTGTTGACACCACTACTCTGTTGGTTTTCCCTTACTTCACTAGACTCTTGTTAACAGGCTCCTATCTCTTCTCCATGATGTTGAGATCCAGCTCCTTCGCCTTATCCCCATTGCTATAGATCAGTATCATGCACTCTTACCTCCTAACCAAGTGGTTGTCCTGCCTCCAACTTTTCTCCCTTCATGCCATCTTCCACATTTCTAAACAGTGATTTTCCTAAAGCATAGATCCTATTTGTTATGCTTTTCTCAAAATGCCATTTCTAGATTCTTGATAAGAAAAATGACTCTCTCCTTTAGTCAGGAAACCCATCCTGCAGCCATACAATGCTACTCACTCCTCAAACACGTCTTAAACTCTCACACTCTGAATACTACACTTCTCTCTTACCAGTTTTGTCACTACTTTTTCTCCCTTCTTCATTATATCATCATTAACAAATTACATTTAGTTAAAGTGCTTTGTGGTTTACAAAGCACTAGTATGATAACAGTTATTTTTTATTGAGCATCTATTGTATATCATAAGCACTGTTTTGGATATTGTGTGTACAGAGACCCTATATGCCTCATACTTGAGGCTCTGAGAAGTTCTATAAATTGCCCAGGGTCACACAGGTAGTTCAGTTTCAGAGCCAGATTAGAACCCATGACTCTGTGACTCTAAATGGTTTTTTCATCCCTGTATGCATGCAGTTTCTCACATACAGGCAAAGTTCAAAGCACTTGTAATATAGGCAAAGTTCAGAGCACTCCTATTTTATAGATAAGAAAATAGGCACAGAGAGTTTAAATGATTATTCCAGGAGTAAATATTCTCTCGAAGTGTCTTTGGTAATGTATGAACCTCTTTGAGGGACAACAACAAGTGTAAGAGAAGAATGAATTCTTTTTACTTTTATTTATATATTAAGGTTTTAAATTGTGAAAATGAAACTTATAGAAAGAAAACAGAGTATTACTATTGCAATAGTTGTAAAAAGTAAGCTGGACTTATCAAGGGATAGATAATGGATTTATGGCGTGTAGCATGTTAGTGTCTCGAAAGTTGGAAGAGAGAAGCTGTGTTTGGTGGTCCTCTTGTGGGACAAGACACAGCTAGTATTTGTCCCCCCTCTCCTCCTCACAATCAGTAGTACTTGGATGCTACCTAGTTAGTGAACCTTGCTAGACAGACAAATCCATTTGATATGGTTTAGATGTTTTGTTCACTCCAAATCTCATCATGAAATATAATCTCTATGGTAATAAATAAGTTCTCACTGTATTAGTCCATTTTTATGCTGCTATAAAGAACTGCCTGAGACTGGGTAATTTATAAAGGAAAGAAGAAACTTATAAACGGAAGAGTTTTAATTGACTCCCAGTTCCACATGGCTAGGGAGGCCTCAGGAAATTTACAATTATGGCAGAAGGGGAAGCAAACATATCCTTCTTTACATGGCAGCAGGAGAGAAAAGTGCAGAGCTAAGGGGAGAAAAGCCCCTTATAAAATCATCAGATCTTGTGAGAACTCACTACCAGAACAGCCTGGGGAACCTCCCCCATGATCTAATCACCTCCCACAATCTTCCTCCCCCAACATACAAGATTACAACTTGGATTACAATTCAATGTGAGATTTAGGTGAGGACACAGCCAGGCTTGCTTTGGTAGTTCACATAAAAGCTCACATGGGAGAGCCTGGCAACTCCCATTCTTGCTCTGCTGCACCCACCCTGTCTTGCCTGTTCTCTTAGCGTGTGACACACTTGCTCCTCTTTTGTCTTCTGTCACCATGTAAGCTTCCTGAGGCCTTCACCAGAAGCTGAGCAGATGTTGGTACTGTGCTTATACAGCCTGAAGGACTATGAGCCAAAATAAACCTCTTTTCTTTATAAATTACCCAGCCTCAGGTATTTCTTTATAACAACACAAAAACAAACTAATATACCATATGTCTACATTACTCCAGTTAATCATAATTGTCTTCATAGTATGTGATGTTACATAATAATAATCTTAGTGTAGAATTTTGAAAATGTTTTAAACCATAAGCATCTTTCTATGTTGCTACATAGTCATCACTGTTATGATGACAATTACATTTCATTGAGTGGCTCTTTCATGATTGTTTCAGAATGTCTTCCAGACTAGTTAATTTAATTTTTGGCAGTCCAATCCCATGGAACAAATTGAATAGATACTATACTAAATACTTTTAAAGAAAAACTACTGGGAAAATACAAAGTGACTCATTGTTAAAACTGCCTAAAACAAATTAGGAAATTAAAATTGATCCATAGATGCAATTTTAAGTAATACCCACAGTCAGTCCCATGAATGTGAAAAAGCAAAGGGGGTGGAGTATCCAAGAATCATTCTCAAACTTGCTATTACTACAAATATCTGAATTTTTTATGAGCTTTCATTTATTGTTCACATAAGACAATCATTTCATATATGATATATTTAGTAGCATTTATTCAGTCTACAGAGGAGCACTTAAAGTCTGTTCCTCCATCGATGACTACATGCATTTTTAGCAGTTTATGTGCTTATTAATAACATGATGATTTGGTTTCAGAAGGAATTTCATTGTCTTGCCATAGGTCAAGGTATGTCTTGCAACTACTAGTTTATCTTTACTTATTATAGTGTCTTTTAATGTCTTACGTGGTGAATGAAATCTTTAAATTCTGGTTAGCTTCTATTATTTTCATCCTTCTTTCCATATTCTGTTTTGTCAGTGGGCTCTATGAAATACCAGCGTCAAAATCACCAAGAATGCTTCTTAAAGTACAAATTTCTGGGATTCCCTAAAGATCTATTCAATCAGAATTTCTGGGGTAGGGCCACAATCATTTGTCTTTCCCTCCATGAGTCTTATAAAGTTTTAAACCCATTAGCTTACATAGTCACAGGATAGATCATACTGGGAATTTTTCAGTGTTAATGTTCTGTTTGAGTTTATCTCCCTGCTAAGAAGAGGAGAAAGGAAATGAGATGTCTGCCTGTGTAGTGGATTCATACAAAGAATATTATCATTATCTCGTATAAAAAAAAAAAGGTAGGAGGAGTAAAAGTTGCACTAAGTTTAGTATTAAACATTAAATGTGGTTTAGGTTAAAATTTAAAAATTTACTTGATGAGAATAACTTCGTTTTCTAAGTTACCAAACTGTGTTAGATAAAGTAAGCCCATATAATTGGGCTGTTTATCAGCCCCACACCCAGGCTTATGTCTTCGCACTGAGAGATAAGCCTCTGTTTCTGATGTGGCAGCCTTGGAGAAGGCAGAACAGTGAAGAGGTGGCTCTGCTGTAACAGATGTGGGAGGAAACAGTGGTGGCCACGGAAGATAGAATAGCTTTGTAAAATGTGCTAGCCCTAGTCACAGATTAAGGTTTCTGTGGTTTACCCTGTTCTGATGACCTGTTAGGACCAGACTCCACTTCTCAAATTATGCCCCTCTGTAATATGACGAGTAGCCCATTGCAGTCAGGAAGGAAGGCATAGTCTGTCTTTCCTGCAGTCAAAACATACTTACTGAGCTCTCTTTGTGCCAGATCCAACAATACATCTGTCAACTATAATCTGAATAACAAGACTCTGAAAGGATCCTTTTTCACCCTGAGAGGAAAAATGTCAGTGTTCCTTCTCCAAGAATACCCAATACATAGATAGTTGGGGCTCTTTCTCCTCTTTTGAGTACCTGGCTGCAAAAGATTGAATCAGGCAGAAAGATAAGAGGGATCCATCCAGAAGCCGTGCCATTACAATGATTTTACTTAGCAAGTCTGCTATTTTTAGACATGATTTATCATTTATGCTTTTGTAAAATTCATTCAGCCATTACTTATTGACTGCATATGTGTATGTGCCAGGTGCTATTATTTTAAGTTTTTAGCATACATGAGTATAAAACACACAAAATCCCTGCTGTTGTAAAACTTGCGTTTTGTGTGGGGAAGGCATATCATAAACATAATAATTTGTCTGATATGTAATAGGAAGAACAGAGTAAGGAGAAATTGGGAATCCAGGTTGAGTTCAGGGCTAAAAGTAGTGAATTAAATTTTGAATTGAGTAGGTCAAGGCAGGCCTCATTGGAGGATGACAGCTGAGCAAAGTGGTAAAGAGAAGCAGGAGTGAGCCTATGTGGGTCTCAGGCTAGAGCATAGAAGCAGCAAGGCCAAGAGCAAGAGTCCAAGAACAGCAAGGAGGCTTGTGTGTCTGGAGTGTAGGGAGCAGGGAAAAGAAGCAGAGATGAGGCCTCGGAGGGAGCAGGGAAATCAGGTGGGGCCTATGGGCCATCTAAGGACTTGCCCTGTTACCCTGGTAAAGTGAGAAGCCACTGGAGGGTCTTGAACAAAGACGCAGATCATTCCCACTGCTGTATTGAAAACTGATTGTGCTGGGGTTGGGGACAGGGATGGAAACCAGAAGATTATGAGATTTCTATAAATTTCCTAAGGTGGAAATAGAG